AATTAAGAACAGTAAACAAGAGGACAGCAGACTGCAAACTTTCTCAATCAAGCAGAAGGTAGAAAGATCAGATCCAAGCTCTCTGGAAAAACCCGATGGTAATGACAGGATCGAAGGATAACTAAGGAGATATCAACATCTCAATCCTCAGTGTCTCCATGTTCAAGTTCTAAGAAGAATGTTTCACTCCAGTTCCCAAAATCCTCAAGCTTTTGCATTTCTCCTTCCAGATTTTGCATCCATCCAGTATTGTCCAATCCATTTCAAACAGATGTTGCCAGTATAAAGTCCAAAATATGTAAAATAAGATGAAACAATAATCAGTAAAGAAAAATACAGACTAAAGAGCCTGTGAATCTGGGAGGGACTTCATACATCGTAGGATCCTTCCAACTTTTGTTGCCCGTAGGCCATCCAAAAAGTGGATAACAGGTGATCATCACTGTCCACAGCTCAATACCCTTGATACTTTCGATACTTGATTTTGAAAAATATGATTCCTGATTCAATAATTCGTGCATTAATCTTCAATTAGATATATTTTATGAAAGGAGTTTTGAAAAATTAATATTTCTTTTTCCCGTTTATTCCTTGATTTGGATATTGGATTAAAAAGTTTTTGAGCCTTTTAAAGAACTTGAGTTTGGATTATCAAATTCTGAATTTCTAACCTTTTATGGGCTATGCATTGTCAAATCCAATTCTACTAAGTTTTTGATTAAAACCAAGAGGTAACTTTCTCATTTTAAGATTTTTTTTTTCACTAGATCAGGGAACGTTTTTATCTTTTGTTCATTTTGTTTTTTGTTTGTGTCTTCTCTCTTTTTGATAATGTCAAAGGGGGAGAACGTAATGTTGAATTTGTATCCTTTTTTCTTTTCAAAAAAATTAAAAACAACAAAATATTTTTTATCTCCCCTTTTTTTTAAAGTGTTATTCTAGTGAGGGGGAGATTAGGAGAAAATATTCCTTTTTACAAATTCAAATTGAATTGTTTGTCATCATCAAAAAGGGGGATATTGTTGTGGATCTATGATTTATGATTTTCATGATAGCAAACATTCCTTATTTCTCTACGATTGCCTTTTGTACTAACATTTCAGGTTCACACGATAGGACTACATTTTGGAATCAGCTCAAGATTGGGTAGACTAGGTCTGAGTCAGTTTGTACCCTTTTTCCTTTCTTGATTCTATTGTATTTGTTGTGGCTCCTGATGCTTTGTAACGTATAAGAGTTTCTAACTGTTCCCTAGGGTTTACTATTTTTGGTAACATCGTCCTAGATGATATTTATATCGGTCGGGATGGTCTGTTCAAAAGCAGAAACCCTAATTAGGGCATCCTCATTAAAGCAGCCGTCTTTATGCAAAACACATCGTCCTGGACGATTTTGTATCGGCCAGAACGATATGCTTAATTCAGAAAGAATCTGCCGCCATATCTACTTAGGAAATTCTTATTTTTGGATATCAGCCTAGTGGATCGGCCTGGACTATAAAATATCGTCTAGGACAATCCATGATAATTTTTCTAAAATTTCTCAGGCAATTTTGGAAAGCAGTTAATGGGGATTTCGTCCGGGCCGATCGCAAGATCATCCGGGATGATTAGACATCGTCCAGCTTCATTTCAGGGCGATATTTAGGATGATTTTCCTCATATTTGAACTAATCGGCCAGGACGATATGCCTATCGTTCTGGACGATAATGTCAGCAACTTGTATTAATGAGTTCATTTTTAGCTCTTTTATTTAAGCTATGACATGACACTTTGTAAGTGTCTTTGGCAGCCATTGTAGCTTCATTCTTGTGGGGGAAACTTGAAAAGAAAGCTTGAAAGGGAGTGAGGAACGGGTGATGTCTGAGAGAGGGAGAAGATCCTATGAGGGGGGACTCAAGGGAGTTTGGAGGGGGATTTCACAAGGTTGCTCCGGCAGGCTTGCACCTTAATACCGTCGGATTCAAGGCTTGTCTCGAGGGAAGTTCACCAAAGAAGAAGATCTCTTTGGTGTTAAAGGACCGGCGACTCCGCCACACCGGGGAAGGTGGAAGTGATTTTATAAGGGCTTCTCCGCCTAGCTGTGGGGGTTAAAGGAGAGACACTTGTTTTAGTACAATGCTTGGAGGGTGCCTCCAAGGAGTGGACGTAGGTCAAGATTTGACCGAACCACTATAAATCCGGTGTGTTCTTTCTTATTTTTTGCTTCCGCATTTAATTTCCGCATTTGATTTTCTTTGTGGTGATTTTGGTTTGAGTTTTATCTTTGGCTTTAAAGTTATCCAATTCACCTCTCTCTTTGTTAGCTTTGGGCCAGTTCATAAGGGCTTAATATCCCTAACGAACTTTCATTTTTGTTGTTCCTTTCCATCTATATGAAGTATATAGTAGCATTTAAAATGAGAAGGTTGTCATTTTTAATGCTTTAGGCTTATCCATAATGTCAATATGATGAAAGGCTAAAAAAATTATTGGTCTGAAGTAACGAGTTTGAAATGAAGGTATGAAATTTTCGAGCACTTTAAAAGAATAATCACATTCGAACAGTAGATGTGAAGTGGTCTCCAGGCTATTGTGACATAAAGAACAGGTTTTATCCATAATATGAATGTTTCTCGAAGCTAACACATTACAGGTTTTTAACCCTCCTTTAAGAGCCATCCACGAGTATACAGAAAATCTCAGAACATGTTTCTTATGCCAAACCATATGATGCCAGTCAACTTTAACATCATTAGAAAAATAATATAAATAGAAATCATTAAATTTGGCATTCCCTAAACAGTCCCAACTTAGATGATACTTATTATCATAAACAATAGGAATATTCAGAATAAAATCCCTAATGGAAGGGTTCTCAAATACCGAAATGTTCCATGCATCTTGCTGTTTTCAAATAGCTAACTGTGAATTCTTTGCTAGGTTAGTGGGAAAATTATGAAATTTATCTAGGATAGTTTCCCCCAAACACCAGTGATCCCATAAAATAGAGATTGGGCTGTTATTAGCAATGGTAAATATGAATTTCTCCCTAGCAATTTCAACCATATTACAAATATTTTTCCAGAAAGTCGATGCAGTATTCGTAACAGGTTTCCAATGACTGATATATCTAGCTAGGCACCACTTAGCAAGATGAGAGTTAGTGTTGTAGCATCTCATAATAATACCGCAGTTAAAAGCAAAATTTAAAGCTTGTAAAGAAGCAATGCCAAGTCCTCCCAAAGAATACGGTTTACATGTATTATTCCAGGAAATAAGATGTAATTTCCTGCCATCAGTCTCCCCATGATATAGAAAATTAGAGCACAACTTACTAATTTGTTTGTAAATAACTTTAGGCAAAGTCATGCTCCTAATTCAATAAGCCACAGTGTTAGTAATAGTGTATTTAATATATTGCATTCTCCCAGCAAAGGAGAGCATCTTCGCCTTCCATCCAGCCAATAGTGTGATGATTTTCTCTATCAAAGGGGCAAAGTCAGACACCTTAGTTCGACCCAAAGATATAGGAATACCCAAGTAATTAAAGCGATCAGATACATTATGAATTTGAAGCATACTAGAAATGTCATTAGGACAAGAAACACTTGGGGAAATAATAAGAGAACTCTTAAGAAGGTTCATTTGAAGTCCCGTGAGCATAGAGAATAGGTTAATAATCCTCATAAGCTTGTCACAATTGTTAGAATCCGCCTTTCCAATAACCAACAAATCATCAGCATAAGGAAGGTGAGATAGCTGGAAATTATTCAATTTAAAGCCTTCAAAACCACTGGACTTAGAATTATAATCTAGGAGACAAGATAGAGCATCCATAATTATACAAAAAAGGAATGGACTTAGTGGACAGCCCTGTCTAAGTCCCGTAGATGATGAAAAAAAACCTTCCAGTGATCCGTCCAGACAAATAGAAAAATGAATATCATTAATACAAGCTTTAACCTAGTTAATGAAAATATTAGGAAATCCCTTATCAGCCATTCTAGCAAAAAGAAAGTTCCTTGAAATTGTATCAAAGGCTTTCTTGATATCATATTTAGCACAAAAGATATTCATCTTATTATGCTTTTTGAAAAGATTTATAATTTCCCTAGCCAATATAGGATTATCAGTAGCAATCCTATTAGAAATAAAAGCAGCTTGATTGTTCTCAAGGATATCAGGCATAATGATCTTCATACGACAAGCTAAAATATTTGCAATAATTTTGTGAAAAACGTTGCAAAGTGAGATAGGCCGGAAGTCATGAACATTTTCAGCATGGGTTTTCTTAGGAACAAGAGCTATAGCAATAGCTTTAGCACATTTAGGCAAGTAGCACTTACTAAAAAAAGATTTGATAGCCTTACAAAGAAGAGGACCCGTAATACTCCATGTTTTTTGATAAAAATCAAAGTTAAAACCATCAGGTCCAGGTGCCGAGTTGGAGCATCCATATGTAATAGCCAGATAAATTTCTTCATTAGTAATGGGCCTTACTAAAGTAGGAATGGCATTTTCAGAAATCATTTTTCCTTTAGGAATAAGCCTAGTATCATTTAATTCCGGAGGGGCTGAATTATACAGATTTTTGAAATGTTGAATGATGCTAAAGTGATTGCTATTTTCATTATCATCATGATGATTCATAGCAGCATTGAGAGAGCTCCCATTAAATGCCTTCCTTTTCTTAATTTTGGAGTAGAGAAACTTCAAATCTTCTTCTCCATGCTTTAACCATTTAATTTTAAATATTTGAATGGTCCAGGAAGCATGTAATGAATTGCAGTAGTTAATATTAGCATTTATTCTTTTAAGATCACCACACAACTCCTTGTTGAGAGGATCATTATCAATCATTTTATGACACATATCTTGAGTGGAAGCTAAGGAAGCACATTTAATAGCAATGTGATTGGAAGAATTCCAATTTCTAGTTTTAATCTCCCTTTTTAGAAGTTTCAGCTTCTTATAGAGGCTTAATATAGGATTCCCATTATCCAGAGATTGAAAAATATTCAAAGAATGCTCCAGAAATCCGGAATATGGCTCCAATAGTTTTTATACATAAACCTCTTAGGAGTTTTCTTAGTAGGGACATCTATGAGAATGAGTGGAGTATGATCAGATACAAGACTACTCAACACATTATAGTGAGAGTTAGGGAATTGATTAATCCAGGTTTCATTCACTAAAACCCGGTCCAACTTAAGATGAATGGGATTGTCTTGTCTTTGATTGAACCAGGTATGAAAGTTACCAGTGGAAGGAAGATCAATCAAATTATTATCAAATATGAAAGAATTAAATGGATAAAGCCTATCCATTGTGATAATATTCCCACCTTTTTTCTCTGTTTGCAATCTGCATGTATTGAAATCACCAATCACAGCCCAAGGCAGAGCACCATGCGGATTGACTTCCCTTAATTCAACCCATAGCTTATTTCTCTCTTCAAAAGAATTGGAAGCGTAAACAGCAGAGATGAGCATGATAATTTGAGACCCCACCATTAAATGACCCGAAATCATATGAGGAGAAGAAGAAATAGGATTAAAAGAGACTTTATCTGAATTCCATTTTATCCATATGCGTGCAGGAGTAGCAAGATCAAAGTTATCGAAGCTGAGCTCATTTTCAAAAATTTTGTGAGTAGAGCAGAACCAAGGGTCCAGAAGATTAGAAGAGAGGATACTATTTTCAAGAATACAAATTAAGTCAAGCTTATGCTCATTGACCAAATTCCTGCAGCAAAAAACTTTGTCCGGGTTATTGAAACCCCTAATATTCCAGGCTGCCAAGGAGGGACAATTCATAAGAAACTAGGATTTTTGGTTAGGGCCTTTACGGTTGCCCTTTCCCCTAGTATTCCTGTACGAAGAAGGTTCGGTAGAGTTCATCATTTTGGTATTAGAATTACCAAAATTTTCTTTCTTATTCTTAGCAGAGTACCCTTTGGAATCTTCCATTCCCTCATTATGCAAAGATGAAGAGGAATCATCTTCATTATCATCTTGAACCACGCTAAACTTGTTAGCAGAAGTTACTCTATACTCCTTCTGACCATCTGAATGAAACATGGAAGCAGAGGTAGAGGAAGTCAAAGAAGTAGGAGAATTGAGATTAGGGATGTTAGAGCTTGCCCCTGCTATAATATTAATAGGGATAGTATTATCAGTCAATGGACATTGCTCAACATTTTTGTTAATTTTAGTTATCTCAGAGTTAAGAACAGCCCCCTCTTTCGTTGGAATATCCACAACATTAGTATGCATAGCTGAACTAATGGGTAGAGTGTTTTGATTAGTCGCCTTAGTAAGAGCATAAGCCGAAGTAGGAATCAAATCATGATCTGTATTTACTGGTATATCTTTAAGGTTTTTAGCAGAATCACCAACAATATCAGAATTAATGGTAGTAGAATTAGGAATAGGGAGAATACCTTTCGAGTTTAAGGACTGAGGTATAGGTCTACGACTAGTGCTTCTCCCCCTAGGAGGATTAGGAATGTGGTTAATTTCAGGGTTAGGATTAGCAGAACATTTTGAAGAAGAGTGATTAAGCGAACCGAAAAATTCACAGAAGGTAGGACGCCATTTATATTGAATTTTTAAGTTAAAAAGTTTGCCTTCAACACATATATGTATAGTTTCAGGAAAAGTCGCTTTGTCATCAACTTGAACACAAACCCTAGCAAAGGTAAGTCTGGACTTAGAAGCAGTAAGTGCGTCAACCGCAAGCGGATGGCCAACTTTGGTGGCAATTTTTGATATTCCAACAGGGGTCCAACAACATAAAGGAAGATCATGGATCTTAAACCAGATCGAGACAGATAAAAGTTCTTCACGAGTTGGGGAAAAGTGAGAATTCCATTTTTGAAAAATAAAAGGTTTTTCAAGAATAAACCAAGCACCTCTACTCCAAACAAGGTCGAAATCTTTCGCGTTAGAAAATTTGAACAGAAAAAACCCATCGCTAAGAGAGATAAGTTTCAGACTACCTTTAAGATTCCAGAGCTTTTTAACAGAGTTAAGTAGCGCCTCATAGTAAGGTCTCTTACCGAGAGAGTAGCCAACAAGCGCCTGATCCCATTCATTAATAGCTTCAGCAATGTCTTCAGTGGGGAAATTGATGATTTCTTCTTCTGTTGGCAAGGGGGATATCAGAAACTCACATGCATTAGAAGTTGGTCCAGAGAGGATGCGATCCCACGAACGTGAAGATTTGTTTCCAGCAGCAGTGGAAGGAAGGAGAGGGCGCGTTAGAGGAGGAAAAGCTTCCTCGAAGACGGAGGGATCCATCGGAACGGATCCCTCCGATCACCACGCAGAGGAAGCACCAAGCGAGTCGCCAAAAAATCCTAACCCTAGCAGAGCTCTCGAGACCGAGTCACCAACTCAATTTTACTTTTTATATAAAAAATCACTTTTAAGACATTATAAGAAAATCGTCCAAAGGAAGCCTTAGTGTTTACATGGGCACTCGGCGAAAATGAGAATATCAAAAGAAATACTTTATTCGTTTTCATCGCTCCGTCCGCTCAAAACCACGAGTTGCGACCGCATCTACGGTGGCGCCGACGTCCTCCCGCTATCGGTGATAAACGGGCAGGGGATTTTCGATTATTTGACTGTAACAAAAAACCACTTACAACCAATTTCGCGCCTATCATATAGCTCCATTAGGGTTTTGTCTAATGGCGAACAGGACGGATCCCACTGCAAAGAGCATCCATGGAACGAACCCTCAGAATCTCGTTGAGAAGATCGTCCGCTCGAAGATCTACCAGAATACCTATTGGAAGGAGCAATGCTTTGGTCTCACAGCTGAGACGCTCGTTGACAAAGCCATGGAACTTGACCACCTTGGCGGTACCTTCGGAGGCAACCGCAAGCCCACTCCTTTCCTTTGTCTCGTCATGAAGATGCTCCAGATACAGCCCGAAAAGGAGATAGTTGTTGAATTTATCAAGAACGAGGACTACAAGTTTTTGAACCCTTCCTTTTCGTCTTTTATCAATCTTTTTTCCCCGTTCTTCTTTTCTTTTTTAATTGTTGAATATGATTAGAATCTTCGTTTTCGAGAGCAGGTATGTCCGCATTCTGGGTGCTTTCTACTTGCGGCTGACGGGGTCGGTGACGGATGTGTACCAGTACCTCGAGCCGCTATATAATGATTACAGGAAGCTTCGACAAAAGCTTTCTGATGGAAGTAAGCTTTTATTTTATAGAATTTTAACCCTTTTTAGTCATGTTCATTCTGGCATCTTGAAAGTATTCTAATTTTCGCGAATTCAGAATATTCTTTGACTCATGTGGATGAAGTGATTGATCAGCTTCTCACAACCGATTACTCATGTGATATTGCTCTTCCTCGCATCCAGAAAAGGTGTGTCTTCTTCTTGATATGAAGTCATGATGTTACTTTTCAACTTGCATCTTGACATTTTCAGTTTAGGCTATTAACAATTGAAAGCTTTTGTGCTTCGTATCATAAGCAGTAGAACTGCCGTAATATGCTACTTTGTCTTTAGGATATAATGTTTTGACCCTTTCCTATGCTTGCTTCTTGTGGAAAGTATTAGTTTTATCTGATGAATATGGATTTCTCTGCAATTTAAAATAATTAGAAGAACCAGAGAGACTGAAGTCTTGTACTATAGCTGAAAATATGTGAAAGGTAAAACTCCAGCCTTCCTTTGATCCCGAAGAAGGTAAAAAAATGGCATTTCATGACAACTCTTTGTTTGCAATTGCACTATGTTAGTAAATTTTTGAGGATCTTAGAGCACTAGCTTTCAATGGTGATCCCTCCATTTAGTTTGGGCTGTCAACCAAAATGCTTGTTATGAAAATTTAAAATCCCATAAACCTGTTGACATTTATGGACTTTGAGTCTTTGACATGCCCCATTATAATCAACATCAAAGGCTTATTATCATGACAATTCATTGTACTTTATTTTTATTCATTTTATTTTTTTAAGAAATAGGAGGCTGATCATGAGAGATTTGGAGAGAATATTTTAAATATGAGAAAAAATTCCTATTTTGGAACTATAAAAATCAACCCAATTTGAGGATTCAAGAGAAGGAATCAAGTATTTATTTTAATCCTTTAAACTTAAGTGATATTATTTGTTTTTCAATATGGAAAGAGTTTGAGGGGGTTGCGATTATAACCTACAGACAAATTTTTAAGGTGGGATTTTGGTGTTTCTCCTTATGAGTTTCCTCTTAGAATACTTCATGATTAATTTATATCCTCATTGATTCAATGAAAAATAATTTTGATATATTGCAAAACAAATTGCGCTTATAAGGAGTTGGTGCCACCAACTTTTAGATTTATACATCAAACACAATTAAGGTTTGCAAACTCTAAAATATCATTTTTCTCTCTTATTTCTTGTTTTCAAGCATCTCTACCTTTCTAAAGTGCTACCACTTAACCCCTTGCAAAATTCAAGTCATATCTCTTACACAAAATTCTAACTCCTATTTGTCTAAGTGTTGTGACTAATTCACTTAACAAATTTATTACTTCCTATCCATATATTCAATTGATCTAAATCACTTCCATTAGTTAGCTAATATACAAAACCTTTAATATGTAGATTGTTACTCTTTTCCATCTTAAGAAAACTTAGCCATCCATTGTAATAAGTCCTAGCAAAAGAGTTGTTTGAACAATCTCCCCAAACACAAAAACTATAAGCCTCTAATTAAATGTTTCTGCTCAATTATTTACCTGTTTGCTTAAGATGACTATCTTTATGAGGTTGTGCGCTGATTTAACTTTAAAATCCATGTTAATTAGCTTTCTGTTATATCTTTTTCTATTGAGAGTGGCATATCTACTTTGCTATGTTGGCATCATTTTTGGTATAATGTGGACATGTTTCTTATTGACTAGGTCAATGATTTGTTTAGCACAATCTTCACTCGGCTGACCTGGCCAAACATTGATGTGACTATCTCTATGTACTAGTTAAATGCGAGAGCGATGGGCTGCGAATTGTTGCGCATAAGTCCATGATGGTTCAAATCACTTTACATCATTAGATTTTAGTTATACAAGTTGATATGCATTTGTCATCATAATAGTTGTGCATGCAACAAGCAAGATGTCGTAGTTATGGAAGTTTTATGAGAAATTTTTGTGCAAGAGCTTTTCATACAGGAAATCTTCGTCTACGTGAGGATTTTTGATCGGGGTATCATATCACGAAATGAATTGCATCATTGTTTCTAGATCATCAAGATGGTTTAGATAGGCTTGTCCACATTTAGATTTTCATCATTTGGTCACTTATTGAATGAATTATTCTTTTTGGATTAAATAAGTTAATTTTTCCTAAAGAATTATTCTGAAATTATAATTACATTCTAGCAAAAAAAAAAAAAAAATCATAACTCAAATTTATTGTTTGGGCTAACTCAATCTAACTCAAAATCAAATCGACATTTGATTATTATCATAACATTCATGCATTTATTGGCATGCGGATACACATGCCATTAAATTTAATAACATATAATTTAATGTTCAAAATGCATAACTCAACAAGTTGATTTATACTAATTTATGGTTCTTTCCATGCTGATTAAGTTAGTTCAAATCTAAGAACCCAAGCCTAATGCATAGGCTGGAATTGGATTAACTATACGAGTTGATTTAATTAAATCATTTGTGTTTTGTTAAATCAAAAAAGAGAAAAATAAAGTAAACCGATTATTCACTATAAACATTCAGTTAGAGAACTGGCCATGCTTGGTTCCCTCAACCTAGCATTAAGCGGAGTATTTTAAAGTGTTTAAATGTAAAAAGATTGAATTAATACTAAGTAAATGCCACCTTTTTGTAGCTTCGGTTAGTTTGCAGCCACCTCCCTATTAGCCAATATCTTGGATGGAAATTTCTAAGCCACTTAATATCGTCCTTGTAAAAAAAGAAAAAGAAAAAGAAAAAAAGAGAAGGATAATAAAGGAGGAGAGGTTGAATGCTTCTCTTTTTATTTATTTATTTATTTATAATTTTATCCAAGAAAAAACCTCCCCAAATCTCCTCTCATTTTCAGCTTCTAGTTGCTCCCAAGACGAAAGAAGGAAGAAGACTCGGCCTGCTTGAGGCCATCCCCATGCATAGCCCCTTGCAAGTTAAGCTTTGCCTCTCTCCAACTTTTAGGTTTGGAGTGTAGAACTAGAAATAGTTTGGTTTGTGTTTTTAAAGGAGCCTCTATTATAGGGAGTTGTCTATTTTCCCAATAAATGGAAACCAATCCATGTGAGAAATTCTAAGGCCTTCGAAACCTCCACCACACTATATGTCAGCAAGAACCTCGTCAACCACTTTCCAATTATACCATTTGGATTATGTTGTCCCTTAGCCACCTTGCACCACCTTGAATAGAACCATGGCCACAATGGCTGAGCAGGATAATTACATGATTTAGACCGTGAATAAACAACAATTAGAACTTTAAAATGAGATCTCACTCATTTGGAATCAAAATCAAACCAAATAAATTGCATAATATTTATAAAAGTTAGCATTATATATTGAAAATAATTTCGTTTGAGTGGTGCTTTTCTTAACATAAATCAAATCTAATATATCTACTTTCTTAATAGGGTCATCAGAAGGCTGTTGTTTTATGTGACCAAACCATCTAAGGCGGCTCTCTCTAATCTTCTCTTCCAATGGAGCTACTCCAGCATTTTCATATATATGCTCATTTCGTGTCCTATCTCTAAGAGTAAAGCCACCCATCCACTTGAGCATCCTCATCTCTGCAACACTTAACTTAATATTGTGTTTCCCTTTTAATGGCCAACATTCTGCACCATAAAGCATTGCAGGTCTCATTACTATCTTAAGAATTTTCCCTTAAGTTTGAGGGACTTTCTATCACACAACAATCCCGATGTATTCCTCCACTTCAACCGCCCAACTTGTATTCTATTAATAATATCCCCATCTATTTCACAATTACTCTGAACAATAGACCCAAGATATCTAGAATATGTACTCTTATTAATGACTTGATCGGCCAAAGTCACAATCCCCACACTAGATCTATTATTATTAAAATTATACTCAATATATTCAGTTTTAGATGTACTCAAAGGAAAGCCTTTAAACTAAAAGTTTGACCTTCATAATTCAAGTTTACCTTCAACTCTCTCTATAGTCTTATCAACAAGAAGAATATCATCAACAAAAAACATACACCAGGGTACAACTTCTTGCAAATGTTTAGTGAGAGCATTCATGACTAAAGCAAAAAAGATATGAGCTTAAGGCTGATCCTTGATGTAATGCAACTAAAATAAAAAAAATACTTGGTCAAACCACCTTGTGTTTGAACACAAGTAATAACTCTTGCATATATATTCATAATGACTTGAATATAAGCTTTATTAACCCCTTTCTTATGTAGAACTTTCCATAGCACTTCTCTTGGAACTTTATCATATGCTTTCTCTAAATCAATAAAAAACATGTGTTGATCCTCCTTATTCTCTGTGTACTCCTCCATCAAACCTCTCAATAAATGTATAGCTTCCATAGTAAACCTACCTGGCATGAATCCAAATTGATTTTGAGAAACATTAGTGTCACGCCGCAGCCTATACTCCATAACTCTTTCCCATAGTTTTAAGGTATGACACATTAACTTAATTCTTCTATAATTCGCACAATCTTGTGCATCACATTTATTCTTAAAAATAGGAATCAACACACTCATTCTACTACTCATCTGACAATTTTTTAGTCTTCAAAGTAATATTAAAAAGTTCAGTAAGCCAAGAAATTCCTTCATCTCTTAAGCAATGTGGAACTAAATGAGAGGTATTTGCAACTCTATAAGTCGGATAGAGTGGGAATGAGGTTATGAGTTCTACTATTAAGTTTTTGTGATATGTTATGATCTGATATGTTATGATCTTATATTTTATATGATTATACTCCAATTTATTACCAACATCTTATCATATTGGAAGATAAATGATAAAATTTTCTTTTATAAATTTGATGGAATTGTGCCGGCTAATTTTTTTTAAAATTTATTATTATTATTATTATTTAATTAATTAAAATTTTGCCTTTCTTGAAAAAAGGAATTGGTTTTGCCCTTATACACACATATATACATAAAGTTTATTTGTTAATCGTATATTTTAAAATAATTGTGATTATTCAATTGCTATTTAATTAAGAATCCAAATAGTGAGATCTCTCGAGAAAAATATGCTTATCTTTATAGTTTATGACATTAATCTTGTACGTTAGGTTATATTATTCAGAGTCAAGGCGATTATGTGCCCCAAACTGGTGGTGGCCATCATAGCATGCATCTCACATTTATATGTTAGAGTGTTGTAG